AAATCTGTTTCTGTTTTTGTCTTTCAGGAAATGACAGAAATCCCTCCCTCACAAGCCACAAGCTTACGCTGGAGGCATGGAGACCTTTTCTTAAGAGAAGTTTAGATGCCTGAAGCTGACTTACCCTCAAATGTCAGGTATTGTCTCCATCGTATTGTCTCAATAATGTTTTCTCTGTACATAATAGTTACTTTATGTGTTAAAGTATCATAACAAACCAAACCCTGATAAGAAAAGGTCACGTATAGATAGAGGCTTCATTAGGTGGAGGTTATAAAATGCCGCACAGACAGACAGACCAACAAAGACTGTTATCAGTACTTAAGAGGAGCGATGGAGGGGGGGGCTTATTAACAAGTCTACTTATCACCATGCAAGGACACATTTTATCACATCTCCAACTTAATTCTGCTGTTAAAGATAACTGCCATGATGGAGTGAATTCTGACCCAGTAAATGGAAATTTGAAGAAAAAAATGCTTTGAGAGTAACTTTACTGATTTCTTTTTTTTTTCTAAACTTTATTTCTTTTACATATTCAATGTTTTATTTCATTTTTCAAATTGAGTTTTATGAATTTGTTGTTTTTTCAACTGTTTTACAGATTTTCGTAACTTAAAGACCAATACACACACTTTTTCTTGATCAATAAAAATGTTGCTTATGTCCAACGGACCAATAGAAACGTGTCTTTGCTCCTCATTCCAGAGGAAAACCCGCCCCCTACCCTGATAAAAATAAAATTATTTAGTATGAAAGATGAATGAGACATTGGAAGATTGTTGATGAGAACAACCCGTTGTTTTTCAAACCATGCCTGTGCCTATTGGCCAACGCTCTGACCAATTAGCGCAGCTGACTGTGACGTAGTAAGCGCGACAGGAAGCTGGTGGGGGAGTGTAAACAAACAGCCTGTCGTGAAAAGCGTAGAGCCTCTTCCTGCTCACGTTTCAACGAAAACCCAAAGCCTAATCCTTCCAAAACTGATTCCAAAGCCGAGACAAAGGAGAACTGTTCAACAGTTGTTGCCATCTTCCTTGTTGTGCTTTCTCCAGCGTCGCGCAGCTTTGTCTTCACGCACTCAAAACCCCGCCCAC